GAGTATTCTTCCTTTTTGGTTTTCTCACTCCAGATCTTTGAAGAATTCACAATATTTGATCTTGTCTTCTCGAGCTGCTGTTTGAAATTTTCTGTTCAGTTGTTTTACATCCTCATTTTTTCCATTTGCTTTAGATTATCTATGCTGGAGAACAAACAAGTTTCTGAGTCTCTTCTGATGTCCATTTTGGTCTTTTTTCTTCTTTCTTGTCTTTAAATGACTGCTTTCTTTCTGTATAATGTCATTCCACAATTCTTCTGGTCTTCGGTCATTAGTGTCTAATTCTTCAAATCTGTTCTTGAAATGACCTCTAAATTCAGGTGGATATGTTCAGGGTATACTATTTTGGCTCTCGTGGACTTGTTTTAATTTTCTTTAGCTTTAACTTGAACTTGTATATGAACAATTGGTGGTCCTTTCCACAGTCTTCTCTTGGCCTTGTTTTGGCTAATGATATGGAGCTTTTCCACTTTCTGTTTCCATAGATGTAGTCAATTTGATTTCTGTGTATTTCCTCTGGTGAGGTCCATGTGTATAGTCATTTTTTATGTTATTTTAAAAAGGTATTTGCTGTAAAGGTAGACGTTTTGTAGCAAAAGGAGGGGAGTGACTGACTTTGCAGTCTAGGAATGGAGGTCCCTGGGACCACCAAGGGAGAAGAGCAGAGAGCAGGACCCTACCCAGAGAAGCAGTGATGCCAGAGATGGAGGCAGAGACGATGAGGTGAAGAGATGGAGCGGCTGGGGACTTTAGATCCAGAAAGGGAGAGGGGCTGTGTGCTGATGAACGGGGGAGGGGAGGGTGGGCTTGTAGGGTATACGCTTTGGTTGGTTGATGTTGCATGGAGGGGATTGTAACCATGGCAATAAAAGGATTTACAATAGGATGAATGTAAAGCTAATGTTCTCCCATGTAAACTATCACATAATTCACAATAAACCATTAAAAAAAAAAAAAAAAAGGTGTTTGCAATGAAGAAGTCATTGGTCTTGCAAAGTTCTGTCATGTGATCCTGCAGCATTGTTTCTATCACCAAGGCCATCTCTTCCAACTACTGATCCTTTCTCTTTGTTTCTACTCTTTGCATTCTAATTGCTAGTAATTATTAATACATGTTAATTGCATGTTTGATCAACTTCAGACTGAAGAAATTGGTAGAATCCTTCAATTTCATCATCGCTGCCTTTAGTGGTTGGGGCGTAAATTTAAATAATAGTTGTATAAACTGGTCTTCCCTGTAGGAGTATACATATTATCCTGTCACATACAGTGTTGTACTTTAAGCTAGATCTTGAATGTGACACCATTTCTCTTCAATTTGCCATTCCCAGTATAGTAAATTTTGTGATTATCAGATTCAAAATGCCCAATACCAGTCCATTTCAGCACACTAATGCCTGTTGTTGTTGTGTGCCATCAAATCAGTTCAGATCCATAGCGACCCTGCATAGGGTTTCCAAGGAGCTGTTGGTGAGCTTGAACCACCAACTTTGCAGTTCAAATGGCTTTGCAGTCTGGTGCATGAACCCACAGTGCCACACACTAGTGCCTAGGATATCAATATTTGTGTGTTTCATTTCATTTTGCCAACTTCCAGTTTTCCTAGATTCATACTTTGTACATTCCATGTTCTGATTATTAATGGATGTTTACAACTATTTCTCCTCATGTTGAGTTGTGCCCCATCAGCATATAAAGTCCTGAAGGCTTTTACTCCATTTACGTCATCATGGTCAACTCTTTCCCCATCGTATTTGGAGTATCTTTCAACCTGAGGGGCTCATTTTCTGGAACTATATCTGACAATATTCTGCGGTTATCTGGCAGTATTCCACCACTGTTCATAAGGTTTTCAGTGACTAGATATTCAGAGGTAGTCAGTTCTCCTTCCAAGTCTGTCTTAGTCTGAAAGCTCCTGTGAAACCTGGCCACCGTGGGTGACTCTGCTGGAACTTAAAATACCGGAGGGATAGCTTTCAGAATCACAGAAACACTCAAGTCATTACAATATAACAAAGTGACAGACGAGTGGTGGTCATAGATCGATCATCTTTAATTCTGGTCACTACACATCGCTTAGCAGAGAAAGAAAAAGGCAAAATACTTTTCAGTGCCAGTTACCCATAAGATTTTATAGGTCTGGGTCACATTTTAAGAAGGTAGCCTACCAAACTGGCTCTATTCCTACCAAGAAGGTAACCAACCTGCCTCTGTGTGTCTTTTGTAGGCGACATCACTGTCCACATCTCCCTACCAAGATTTATGATAAGACAGAGAAACCATGTCTCCTCTCCGAGTACACTGAGAACTACCCTACCTATTATTCTTACCTGCCCAGAGAGTCTTTCAAGCCCAAGCTTGAGTACAAGAAAGGATGCATACCGATGGAAGGCCTGACCACATCGAGGTGAGGACAATAGTATTAACTGTATGAATGGACAGCATGGAAGCAGCAAGGTAGGGTCTGGATGAATAATGCTAACACAATAATATTCAGTGAGCTATGCTTTAATGTATAAAATATCTATATTCAGTATTCATACCTTAATGTGAATGTAGAAACTTTGCTTGATTTAGCCTGCAAAATATCTCCCAACTCCCTCTGAAGCAGAAAGGATTCTGTCTTGTTAAGCATAGAGAGACAGAGACTAAGATGATCTACATATTACGGGATTGGGGGTTAAGGAAAGTAATCAGAGATGAAAGGGGGCAGTAAAGGAGTGGAGAGGAAGGGCTGCTGCTGAGAGAAGAATCCAGGGCTTTGGCTGGGAGAGGCCCCAGGACAACCTGGGGTGCTGAAAAAAGCCTTGTGACTAGAGGAAGAATGTGCTTCCCTGGGTGGTGTAAATGGTTAACACACATATTCTAAGTCTACTCAGAGGTACTGTAAAAGAAAGACCTGGAGATCTACTTCTGACAAAGAAACCAAGAAAAACCCTATGGAGCACAGCTCTATTCTGACAGACGTGCGGTCACTGAGTTGGAATCAAACTGATGGCAACTGGTTGAATGGTCTTTAAGAAGTAAGAACAATGAATAATCACTCTTGGCTCCCAAACTGCAATTCTTTAGAACCACTTGGGTCAGCATGTTAGAGTTTCAGAGGTGTCTGTATTGAGAGGGATGGGAAAATGACCAAACCCAGGATGTCTCCCTATGTTGCAAGACCCTTGCAGAATCTAGTGTTCACAGAAAACTTGGTCAGTGACATCCTGCAGTTGGTGGTGACCTGTGACTTGTGACCCAGTGGAGGTGAAACATCTCTGAATGCAGTTGGGCAGGATCTCAGAGTTTGGTCCCCAGGTGAATCTTGGAAGGTTGCTGTACTCTCTCTGCCTTGCCATTCCACACCTCTAAAAGAACCTGGCTTCTGTGGAGGGGACGGAACTATGTATGGACTTTGTTCCAGTGCAGGGTTTGCATGCAGAAGTGCCCAAGACATGATGGCTTTCCTTCTTGTTGCTCTCCCTTTGCTTTGTAATTCTGTGCATTTTGATGAAATGTCCCAGGTGGTTTAGGGGAAGCAGAGCATTCCCAACTTCATCCTGTATTGTTTTCTCCCCATGGTGTTCCTTGGTTGCTAGGTGATCCTCCCCAGGATAGCTTCTCTGTTGAAGTTTTGGGTTGGAGATGTGAACCCCCAGAGCCCCAGGAAGTCCATGTCAGAACTATGGATGGAGGACCCAGGGGCTGGGGAACAAAGCCAAGGGATTTTTGAGTTTGTTGGAACCCACTGGGCAGGAGCAGCTTGAGAGCTGGAGGAGTGAAGGCCCTTGTCTTATGTTGGGTATGAGTTAGATCACTTTTAAGCAGTTATTTAAAGTGATTCAAGTGCAGTATTCCTGGATTATGGTCCGTTAAAAATTATTATTCAACTGTGCCTTCAATCATATTTTTAAAAATAATACAAACCTTAAAGTTGGGAATTAATTTTGGCCCAAACTAACCATTCTTGGTTTTTATGAGTGCAAAGATCACAGCGGAGGTGCAAAACAGTTGACACAGTGAGCTGCTAACTGAAAGGTTGGATGGTCAGGTCCACCCAGAGGCACCTCAGAGGAAAGGTCTGGGAACTTGCTTCCTCCAAATCAGCCATTGAAAACCCTGTGGAGCACAATTCTACTCTGACTCACAGGGAGTTACCATGAGCTGTAATCAACTAGATGATGATGTTTCCCGCTGAGATGTTTCTGACTCACAATGATCCTATATAGGGTTTCTGAGGAGCAGGTGGTGGGTTTGAACCACCAAACTTGTGGCTAGCAGTCCAATGCTGATCCTACAGCACCACACTGGGACTCCTAATCAACTGGATAGTAACTGGTTTCAAAGACCACAACAGATGTGGATATTCCTGGTCATTGCCTTTTATTTTAAGAAACCATGTAAAAGACACATGTATAAGAGTCATGTGATGCGTCGAAAGAACAGTCGCAATGGTGAGGAGTGGCTTGCATTCTTTATATTCATTCTCTGGTACTGATCTTCTTAGGAAATCAAAAGCTTTCTTTGGGATATAAACCACAGTGCAGTTTTGTTGTTGTTGTTGTTAAGTGCCGTCGAGTCAGTTCCAACCCACAGCAACCCTGTATAAGGTTTGCAAGGAGTGACTGGTGATCTTGAACTGCCGACCTTGTCTTTCAAACTGACTTTGCAGTCCAGCGCATTAACCCACAGTGCCACACCAGAAGTCCACAGTGCATCTTTAGATATTGCTATGTTGTTGTTGTTAAATACTGTGGAGTCGGTTCCAACTCATAGTGACACCCTGCACAGGGCTTCCGAGGCTGTACATCTTTACAGGAACAGAAAGCCTCATCTTTCTCCCGCAGAACAGCTGGTAGTTTCGAACTGCCGACCCTTGAGGTTAGCAGCCTGATTCATAACCACTATGCTACCAGAGCTCCTTAGATATTGCTATGTTAGGGACATATTTTCTGTCTTGGAAATATAGAAAAGGATGTTTCAAGGGTTGGATATTGGGCAATGCTACTTTTTTGTGACTCACAAACCTTAGAAGAATGAGCATGAACGTTCTCTCTGGGCAAGTATCCTGCCCATCTCCTAACTTGGAGGTCTCCCAAGCTCTCCTCCTACTGACTCTCTGCAAAACAAAAACTTACCCTCTGATCTGCCCTAAATTATCCTTGCCTTGTGTCACTTACAACAATAAACATACATATCATCCAGAAGTCCCCTCTGCCCCTGCCAGAGTCAGAGTAACAATAAATATCATTCATGTCAAGATGTGGTCAAAGTTAGACGATTGCAAAAACTCAAGGAATTTCCCAGACAAGCTACTAATGGACATACCCAATGCTGCTGAGTCGATTCCAACTCAGAGCACTGATAGGACCAGGTTGAACGATTGCATGGGTTTCCAAGACTGTCAGTCTTGGTGGAAACAGACTGCTACATCTTTCTCCCATGGAGCAGCTAAGCACGTAACTACTATGGCACCAGGGTTCTTCTATGAAGAGTCATAAAGACCTTTCAAAGAGAAAGTGGCCAAGAACAAAAGCTTTGCCCCACCAGAAAGCTATGCAGTCTTGGTGTGGTGCTGCCGGATAATGCAGTGGACTGCAAGTTTGGTGTAAACCACAAGGTTAGTGGTTCAAACTCTCCAGCAGCTCCTTGGAAACTCTACGCAGGGTTGCTATGAGTTGGAACCGACTTCGATAGCACTCAACAACAACAGCAACAACAACAACCTATCAAGTGCCCCATCATGGCCTGCTGGGAACAAGGGTGGGTCAGCCCTGTGTCTACACAGTCACCCCTCTGGTCCTTCGATCCCTGTTACTGGAATGCCCCATTCACTTCCTTATCCAAAGGCTGTCCCTGCTTAATTATTTGAAGTTGGATAGGAGCCTGCCACCTGCTGAATGAGAAAGTCATGTGGCCCAGGGCTTGGCTAGGTTTGATGAGTAAGCCCAGACACAAAAAACACCTGGCTTCTGGAAAGTTATTCTCCCAGCATGAGGCATGCTTACAGCTGCATACAACTTTGCCCATAAATCATGGGGATTTACAGCAGGTGCCACGAAGGGAATGCTCATGGTTTCCAGCCCTTCTTAGAGTGAAACTGTGGTTTATAGCCTTTGGTAATTCTCTCAGATAGGATCCACCTTTCGTTCACACAGACCCGAGTTCAATTTATGAAAAAGAGGTTTGCACTTCAAGCCTCATATCCTCTTAGGAATGTCACCATGTACAATATTTGAGCCCCATTTTGGGATATTATTTCTATTAGCTGAGCCAGCTTCCTAAAATATGGGCAAAATGAATTACCTTAGAAGAAAGAGGTGGGTCTTCAAGATGGTGTTCGACTTTCATCCTAAAGGGAGTGAGACCATGGGTAGTGTGGGATGAGGAAGATGGAATCAGGTTCAGACAATGGATTTGACTTGAGGGCAAGGAGTGGGCAGACTAGTTCCCTTCATTGATTGACGTGGTTCTTTGGCAAATGGAGGAAAGTGACTGTCTTAATGTTCTGATGCCACCAGGCCACCTTTAGTCTAGTGCTGCTTTTACACAGACACCACATATGACTTTGAAAAACAGAAATTTATTTTCTCAGCGTTTCTGAGGCTAGCATTGTGAATGTATGACAGGCTTTCTCTTTCTGTCAGCTCTGGGGGGAAGGTCCTTGTTCCGTGGTGATCTTCATATACTGTGGCATCTATCTGCATGAAAACACAGCCTATACTGATATCACCTCTATAACATAAAAAATAAATTCTTGTTTTAAGTGAGATTACATCCATCAGTATGTTGTTGTTGTTAGGTGCCATCAAGTTGGTTCACACTCATAACGACTTGTAAGTACAACAGAGCCCTGCACCAGCTTCACAATTGTTATGTTTGAACATAACACCTTTGGGGGTCTTTCTGTTTTCCTCTGACCATCTACATTAAAAAGCATGATGTCCTTCTCCAGAGATTGATCCCTTCTGACAATATGTCCAAAGAATGAGAGAGAAGTCTCTCCATCCTTGCTTGTAAGAAGCATTCTGACTGTTCTTCTTCCTCTGGCAGTCCATGGTACTTTCAAATGCATCAATTTTTCTCCAGTCTCCTTATTCACTGTCCAGTTTTCATATGCATATGAGCTATTGAAAATACCATGGTTTGGGTCTTGAAAGTTTTGCTCCATCCATGTCATGAAAGTTGATTCTACTTTGAGAAGGCAACTCTTCCCCAGTTGTATTTCAAGTGCCTCCCAACCTCATCTTCTGGCACTATATCAGAGTGTTCCACAGCTGTTGCCAAGGTTTCCAGTGGCTAACCTTTCAGATGTAGTCTGCCTCTTCTTCTTCTTAGTCTGGCTTAGTCTGGAAGGTCCACTAGAATCTGTCTACCATAGATGTACTGGGATGGGTCACAAAATTTACCTAGCATGGCAAA